CAAGTTTAACAGTTTAATGGAAAAAAATACAACATAAACATAAAATGTGCCATAACTTTTGCACATTTTGTGTTTTATCTATTTTTACCATGTTAAATTCAGTAAACAAACAGTAACTGTGCATTAAATTGTGCAGAAGTGTGTCTCTGTGAGGATGTGCGTAAATATGTTTACTTAGAAAATCAACAAAAGCACCCAAACTTTCGCACATTTTGTTCCATTTTTGCAGTTTCCAAGTTATTTTATATTGATATGAATAAACAATATCAGCTGATTTTATTCCAACACGTCTTTGGTTTCTTTAGTAATTTTGTATTGTATGTACTCAATATTTAGCGTTTACATTCACTGCCAGCATCATGCCTGATGGCCATTCTGCCAGCGCGCTCTGCAGTGTTCTAGAGCTGCGTTCTCCTCCTGATCCAGGTTCTAACACCTGACCAATCAAAGACTCCAGCTTTTAAGAGCTGACCAGGTTCCTTTAATCACATCCCGCCCCACTAACACTGGAACTCAGTACGTCTGTGCTTTGTCCTTAACTCCGTTAGGCCGCCTGAACACTCGCTAACTGTCCAACATTTCCAACTGTGGCTTTGCCTAAAACGTCTCTTACACACCGGACTAGTTCCACTCAGTAACACGGCTGGACCTTCACTTCTCTGAGTATTTCCTGATGATAACACTTTCACTTCTACTCAGATAGAATAGTGTGGAAAGGAACCTACTTTTACTCAGCTCCATTATAGTCATTAACGTCTGGCATTAATTCCATTAATGTAACATTAATTACACTCAGTTGTGTTGGTTCAGCTCCTGTACTGCTTTACTGCTGCTCACACCTCTCACTTATTTAGTCCAATCGTGAACCTTAAATAAGTTTCTCCAGGTGAAAAGTTCGTATTTGTACCTTTTCATAACCGAATGTTTTAAACAGAACAGTAAAATAAAAGCCTGGAGACGAGACGGGGTGTGTGGAGTCAGTACAGCTTAGAACATATCATTTCAGTGGATTATGGTTCAGTTATGTTCCCTGACTGAAGGTACTGAGATGGAGCCTTGAGGGTTCCACCCCAGTGACAAGAGGGGAACTGACCCAGTGACAGTCTAGTACCTTTATTTCTGAGAGTGTTTATGCTGATAGATGCTGGATGGACTAGGAGGTTCTGCAGCAGTTCTACAGGGAACTCAGTACGTGAGTAGCTCTCACACTTGAGCCATTAATCAAAATAAAATACTTCTTCAGAAAGTTATTACTGGTTTGATACAGCTGTACTGATTTGTTACAAACTGCACTTCAATCAGCAAATTGAAACGGCTACCAGAGACTGGAGGAAATGTAAAAAATTAGCCTGGAAAGCTACACAGGAGTAAAAGACAGTGCAGCTCTATGAACAGACAGAGCTCAGCCTGACTTACTGTACATAATTTGGCTGCAGTGCCATCTACTGGTAATGGAGATTGTGACCACGGAATCAGACTCACTATAGTGGCCGAGTTCACCTGCATGTATGAAAATTTGTAAGTACACAAGAACTTTTCTTCTGTAAGTGGAGCAAATCTGCTTGCAGTGTGGCAGAATTTTCATCTAATTTAATATAATCTGTTCAAAAACTATGGTGATATAATAGATTCAGGCAGAGCATCACTCAAATTTGCACATGCATCAACTTTTTCAGACAGTGACCTTTAACAGCCTCCACTCTGAACCTGTACAGTACAGTTCTACCATTAAATCATCAGCAACAACACATTTATCCAGTGTTGATTCTTTACTGCGATATATTCCTCTGGTAAACTTACTGATTACATCACACAGAATCAGCAGGGGATTCACGAAGGTTTTCTTAAGAAAAACCTGCGAAGGTTCTTAAGACAAACACTGAGAGGTTCGTAAGAATGTTCTTAATTGCAATTCTTAAAAACTTCAGAATTTCTCAAACATCCTCTGAAGATAATCGGTTCCTTAAAATGTTCTTAAGAAAACTTCATTGTTTTCTTATGTACTCCATGCTGCATTTCACAGCAGCGAGATACGTTTTTAATTCATATTAACTGTTATTTCCATTATTAAATCCACTCAGAGGAGCAAAATGGAAGAAATACATCAAATCAAGGGTTTAAAAAATTTAGAAAACATGAACTAGAGGTGATGGAGGAGGAAACAGCAGAATTTTGAAAAATATTTTAAAAAATTTCAAATTTATGTGGCTAAATAGAGACTTTTTATTACTTTCATTTGTCTTATTAAACCTTCTTGGTCACAAAGGACTGGTGATTTATAAAAAACCAACAGCAGATCCAAATTTCAAAAAGTATGAATTACGATGTCAAGCCTGTAGCAACAGAAGAACCTTTTTTGGTTCTATATAGAACCATATAAAACGCATTCTCCATCAATATAAAGAACGCTTTCATGATGCAAAGAACCCTTTAATCATTCAAAGGGTTCTTTAAGTGCTCATGGTTCTATATAGAGCTATTTTCTTACTACAGAACCCTTGAAGAACCATCTTTTATAAGCGTGTACTAAATTTAGTTGTTGGATACTGAGGTTTTTCGATAATGAGACCAAACAATGATCTGATTATTACAGCACAGCACTTTAAGCTCTGCTGAGTGGTGCTCTGATGTTTTGGCTCGTCTCAGAATATCTGCTCATATCCAACACCCGAGGTCTGGTCAGATTACTGTTGAGGTTAATAAGTCTAAAAACCAAAAACAGAAAGCGAAACAATCTGAGTGCAGCAGAATTATTGTCCAGAGTTTATGAGGAACCTGTATTACAATCGATTTCCTGAATCGCAGCCTTAAACGTCTGCAAACCTCCAGAACTGCAACAAACCTGTATGTCAGACAGGTCAACTGAAGGGGTTACAGGGTGGCACAAATCTGCTTTTTTGGCTAAAGGTTGCACAAATGTGATCTTGTTTCAGAGCTGTGTGAACAAAAAAATCTAATCTGATTTGGGTCACTTACAGATCCACATCTAATGCAAGCTCATGTGACCATAAGACTGGTCAGATCAGAATTCAAGTTCTCTGGAGTGAAGATTTTACCAGCAGTGGCTCTGACCGATGATAAAATGTGTCGTTGCTGTTTTAGCCAAAAAATCTAAATTGAGTAATTGGGCTTGTAATGTACTCGTAGGTCTCCAGGCCGGATATGAGCACAGGCGCAACACGAAAGGGCCTTGGTGTGAATGCAACATCACTAACAGTGTGACTGAATCAAAACAAAAACCAGCTCAGCAAACTAAAAACAGCTAGTTTGGATTGAATTTGGACAACAACAGAAACCAAAACGATCAAACTGAACAACGTTTACAGAAAATACAGCAAAATGATGATGAATTTATGAAGCTAACGTTGCCTTTTTATTCTCCAGCTTCTTATTTGAAATTTCTGTTCTACCTTAAATGGTGCAGCAGTTACGTTCCAGCGCCTCACTGCTGCACCATTTAAGGTGGAACGGGAAATTCCAATATGAAGCTGCTGATTATTATAAGTCAAATTCAGCCTCATGGTGAATGTTAGGCTTGTTTTACCAGCAGAAGCTGTTAAAGTGAGTCAGACAGAGAGCTGTGCTTCTTTAGTTTTACTACCGTGAGGAAAATAGTCCGTTTGCATTGTTAAGTTTCTCCAGTAAGAGTAACTTCTAACAAGATTCTAGCACTTCACTTCCGAAATGAAGAACAGAGCATAAGCACAGTGGCAGACATTCGACAAGCGACTGTGTGGAGTCCCGTCTGCAGACAGTCGTCTCTCCATGTTTCTTCCACTTTGGGTCTCGAGTCTTTCCCAGTCATGAGGCTCAAGTCCAAGTCAAAGTCTAAGTCACTGGTGTTCAAGTCAAAGTCAAGTCACAAGTCTTTCTCTATTTTGCCAAGTCAAGTCTTAAGTCGAGAGTCAAGACTCGAGTCAGACATGAGTCATAATACTCTAGCACACTTTGCGTTTTTACCATGTTCACCACCCATGAACTACACAGGCTCCTGCGTCTGATTTGTGCCTGAAACTGGCAGGACATCAGACCCTCTCTCTCCCTCTCTCTCTCCCCAGCTTACTGTCAGTATCTCTCTCTCTCGCTCTTTTCCCCTCCCCAGCAGGGGGAGCTACAGTGGAGCTCATTTGCACTCTATAATGTTCTCTGTCGGATGGCCCATTTTTCAGCACCCAGCCGTGTGCAGCGTTATTATTGATTTCTTGTAAACAGGACTGTAATGAATGGCCTCTCTGTTGTTATTGCTGTAGAGGAGCTGTGTGTCATTTATAAGGACAAGTACACAGCGAATGTGTGTGTGTGTGTGTGTGTGTGTGTGTGTGTGTGTGTGGGTCTCCTGTATGTGTGTGAGACTACAAATTCGCTTTGTGGGAGCAAATGAATCCAGAAAGATCCACAATATGTATGTATGCATGTGTGCTTGGTGTGAAACTTGTGTGAAACTGCACAATTACAGAAACATGTACTTGTTATTGACTTCAATTTAGCCTGTCCCCTGGTAACTATTTATATATATGTGTGTGTGTGCATATTATATTATATATATATATATATATATATATATATATATATATATATATATATATATATATATATATATATATAAATAAATAATGTAAATGGTCTGTAGTGGCTGTAGGGGGTGGCTGCCTCAGGGAGGCAGGTTAGCACTCTCTCTTTTATTTCCTTTTGTTTGTGTGTAGAGTTTGTCCTGCTAGTGTGGGTTTGTATGCTGTTTTGGCTGAGGTCACTCCTGAAGTCCGTTGCTGGTGTGAGAACCAACTATTTCTATTCATATATCATTTATAAATAATACAGTCTTTAAACTTCATCGTTACGACTGGTGTTTCATTCTCCAACCACTTCATGGTTACAAACCACTCATATTGTTACGGCCTGACCTAGAAGTTATTTTCACTTAGAAAATCAAAAAGCGTAGTTTGTCCAGGGGAGTGTGCATGTTTTTCTGTTTGCCCATGTTGATGTGTGTGAGCTCTAACCTGCGGTGTGTGTCCCAGCAAAGCCCACAGTGTGTCCGAGGAGAGAGTTCTGCCCCTGCTGAACTCCACCACGTCCGTGTCCTGTCTGTTGAGGGCGAGGTGTTGGCAGCCCTGATAATCTCCCTTCAGCTCGGCGCCACTACTCAGCTGAACCAGGTCCCATGTCCCCATCTGCCCCAACACGGCCCGCACTGCCCCCAACTGCCTGAATGACAGGTGACCTGCACGGTCAACATCACACTACAGTCAGAAAGACACCCAAAAAGAAAGGTAACTGGATATAAATGCAATATACCAGGTGTGTCAAACTGGGTTCCTTGCAGGCCACAGCTCTGCAGAGATCAGTGTTTTCCCTCTTTTAAAGTCCTACTTGTACAGGATTCAATTCACACCGGGCGCTGGGGTAATTTCCTTTCTTACCGGTGCTCCTATGTGATTTTATTGAATTTGGTGCATGTTGCATGTAAAACATGACAGTGTTTTTCTCCCTCCTCCCCTGAGAAAATTACAGACTGAATTACCTGCTGTGTTTCACTGAACTCTGAATCTCTGTGTTTATACAGGCCGATGTTGTCTCGAAATTGGAAAACAGATATCTGACTGCTGCTACTTGCTGTGTTTGGTCTCACAGCACATATCAGAGACCATCCCCCAGAAATTAAACACTTTTAGAACTGCAAAACGAAAAATCGAAGCTTTTAAAGAACCACTCAATCACTTATTTGGGTCATTCTCCATTTGGGGTGGGAATTCAGGTGGATTCATTTTTAAAATTCATTGTTAAAATGTTTCTTTTATCCCAAAACTCAATAATATTAATATGTCCACTAACATCACCTATTATTCTATATACAAAAAGGAGCTTAATTCCAAACACATTTTACAGTCACGGGTGTTGTATGAATATGGTGTAACACCAGTGACGGTGACTCCAGTGACTTTCTGGTTAAAACTGAGGATTTTGTAAATTGGCTGACTCGTTGGCTGATCAGGTGATCAGGCAACTATTTAAAATTAGTAATAAAAATGATATTTTGGCATTATTTAAACAAAATTCTATTTACCCAGCCAGTAAAGCTCATAACACCAGTGACACACAGAAGTTATGTGCTGCTCTAAATGAGCAATTTATAGGTCATGTCCATGGAAAACGTGTGTGCTCTTCTCACCTGAGATCCATGACGGCGTCAGAGCGTCTGTGATCCAGGCAATGTATCCCTCCCTGAGTGAGCACAGGAACGTCTCCAGATCACCAGAGGAGACCAACTCCTTCCTTTTCCTTAGCTCATCATCAAGATTACAGTGAGGAGAGAGGAAGAGGACTCTGGGTAAGAAGAGAGGCTGCCTGACGTTCACTCCACACTGCTTCATATGGTTGTAGAGGTCACTGGCCTTCCTCTGAGAAAACACACATTTTTCACACTTTACTCCAAAGCATTCAAATCAAAACAGTCCTTACCTTCATTATTGTCCACAAAACACCATAATCGCCAGCTTTTCACGTGCCGACTAATAAATCTGAATGACTCATATGTGCATCCTATGTTTAAATACAGGATACAACAAAACCGACACCTCTTTTCAATTTACTAAAATGTCAATTGACTCAAAAACAGAATTTTGTTAAATGACTACATAGATTTTCATTTGAAAAACAGGATCCCTGCGGTTATTTCCAATTAAAAATGATCAGGTTAGTCTATATTAAAATTACAGACTTCACTGTAAAAGTCAGTGAACTAAAGAACAGCTCACCTGTGATACAATTTTCAATTGAGGTCACTTATTTAAGCCCTGTTACCCCTTTCTACAAAAGAGTCATGGCCGTTTGGCTGTTTCATTGCTTGATAGTCAAAATCAGCTCTTAACACTAGAATTTTGGTCACTTATTGGCTGTGCATGATCCACACAGCAATGAACTGTCAAAAGAAAAAGAAAAAAAAAAAACGAGAATCCTTCACAATAATGGAAAAGTGAACAAGGACATAAGCTTCCAGCTTTGTGAGAGATTTATCTTCAGAAATTGGCCCCAGACGGTGCACCAGATATTGCATGCAGTCAACCTCCAGGGATGGCGTCCAAGAACGAAATCATTACTAACAAACTGGCACAAAACTGCAAGACTAAGATCTGCAAAGAACATAGAAAGAAGCCTGATTTTCTAGTCTGATAAAACTCTGAGATTAACTTGTTTGGATTTGATAGGGTTCAGCATGTTTGGCACAGTCCCAGCTTAAACCATCACTGTGACTGCATACTGTTAACTGTGAAACATGGTGGTGGTAGTGTGTGTGATGAGGTTGGTCAGCAGGTGTAGGAGAGGTGACTTTTATAGAGTCAGCAAAATACTGAACAGATGATCCTCACTCTCAACATGCTCAACAGGAAATGAATGTTCCAACATAACAACGATCCTAAACATACCATGCTATTCAGACAAGAGTTTTCAAAGAAGAAGGAAGTGAAATCAATTACCTGGTCAAGTATTTCACCTGACCTGAACAGCACTGGGACACTTAAAGCAGAAGGTAGAGGAGCACAACCCCTCCAGCAAAGAGGAGCTAAAAAAGAACATCTCTCCACAGATTTGTGCTACATTTCTATCATCATTGCCAAGGAGGCTTAAACAAGAAAGGAGGACATACAAATACATAAATACGAGAACAACAAATGATGATCCCAATAACGAAAGGTGCACTGACAGTTCCTCTTAATGTAAAAATCCTTCAGAACAGTTTAACCAGTCAAACATGTCTTTTTTTATTAATTTGTTTTAATCTTTTGTCCTTTAAATAAATGATAAATAAAATATAAAAAATAAAAGTTTAATTAACTGAAATAATCTGCAATTTACCAAACATTTTGGTGATAATGGACAGTGTTGTACAACTTAATTATCTAAAATTAGATATTATTGCAGGCTAAAATCATAATAGTGTGCAACACATCATCGTTGGAAACTTTATAAATTCCTCTGTTAAAGGTTATTCTCTGGGTCATGGACCAGATCAAATAATTCCACCACACCTGCAGCAATTAAAAAAATCTAATTCAGGCTGCTAATATTGTTTTTAGCTACAGGACATACTTTAGTCCATGTTTATAGGTAACAGTGAGTCATACAGTGTCAGAAACCACATAATCAAGACTTATTAGAGACACTGAACAGATCAACATGGTTTTCATGCATAGTAAAGGGCTTCGCGTTGTGACCAAGAACACCCCTTACTTGTGGTAAATTCGCATGGCCTTATTGCTTTTCTAAAACAGCGACAACATATGATGAAATGCAAACATTTTCAATAAATGATTTAAGTTATAATTAGAACCACAGTAAACAATTCCTTCCACCAAGAAACGTAGCTCAGCTAGAGTTCACTATTACTGCTGACAGAAGACAAGAACCTTCACTCACTCATCACTGTATACTGTAGACATTTCAGGAACTTTTGTGTCATATAATAATGAAAATATCATAATACAGTAGTGCTTAATGCACAAACCTTCACCTTGTAAGTAGCTTTTGCTCACCAAATTACCATTGCAATGATCAGGCTAATTTCTGCTAGTGTCTCAATGCGATTTCCTAGGTTGTGTTAGCTTTATGCTAATGGTGCCACACACTACTTGAGGCAGATTTAACCAAAAACACAGCATTTGGAGGATTTTTTATTTTGTAGTTTTTGTAGTAATGACAGACAGTCATTCAGTTAAACTACTGACTACTGAAAAAACTAAATACTTCAATTCAAAGCATAACAATGAATGTTAACAGAGCGGTTTAGCCTGTTAGCTATCTTTCAGCATGTTTAGCTTGCTATCTTTCACCTAGTCGTTTAGAAAATAAGTTGTCACTCTGCAGTTTAAATAAATAATTTGTTGTACATTCAATGATTCATGTCAGCAGCATGAAAGTCCATCCTTCGGGAGACAAAACACATGGTTTTTGCACACTTCACACGTTAAAATGTGTTCACACACATTAGCACACTTTTCTGTAAGTGCATTTACAGCACAGTGATGACTTTGGATTATAGGAATTATCACATTTTGAAAAAGTATGATTACCACTGGGTTTCATACCAGAGAGTATAATCATTAAAACCAGCGTTCGTCTCTTTCCTGCACTGTGAAAGCAAAACAACTGCGCCACAGCTGTCATAGACCCAAAGGAGTTATGACTCACTCCAAGTATGCAAATGAGACGTTCAAGTGAACAAAACACGGCTCCACGACCAAAATAAACGCCACTGGCATTTAAGAAAATGACCTGACCTTCCGACCGGCGTTACAGCAGGCAGTCAAACCATAAACAAGACCTCCTCTGACCTCGGCAGGCTAATACCAGGAGAGCACGCTGGAGCGTTTGTGGAAAACCCTCATCATCTTCACCATCATCATCGTCATCATCATCATCATCTCAACCTCTGTACAAGCACAATGTGTTTCTAAGTGGACTGGCACTCTTTCAAATACAGTTCAGTGACCCCTGTTTGATTTTGCTTTTTTCCCCTCTTACCTTTTTACCATAATTGTTGCAATCTAAATGGAGAGCCCACCATCTATAGGCTTGTCCCCTCTTAGTGGACATTATTTAATTCAGTTTCAACATGCAGTAGCTGGATAGTGCTGCTTCATAAAGCGTGTGCTATTTACTCCGCCAGCCTGCCGGCCTGAGCGCCCGTTACATATATAGGGTAGTGCAGAGAGGAAAATGGGTGGTTATGATCAGCCAAGACAAACGTGCAAACAAGATTCAGGCTTTGGCTGAATTTTTCAGCTGTGAGATGTACTTTTTTCTGTGTTTATAGGTAACAGTACACCATACAGAGTCAGAGTCATATGAGCAGGTCTATTTGAAATTTTGGGGAATTTCACCAAGTTTTCAAAATTAAATGGTTCTCCTTTACAGAAAGTTATTACATGAAATGATTATAAACATGTTGCCTGATGGCCTAAAATGTTTTTTTTTCCAAATACATTTATGGTGGAGAGGTATACGCAAGATGTTGTAAGGCAAAATAATCCGCCCCCCAAAAAAATAAATAAATAAAAAAATAAAAAATAAAAATATATACACAGACGTTGGGACGCTGTGAAAAATGTAAATGTAAATAAAAACAAAATATAATAAAACAAAGAAAACAAATCAAATGTTGAAACTGAGAAATTTTATTGTTTTCTGAAAAATATTTGCCCATTTTGAACTTGACGTGCACATCTGTGAAGGCGCTATTAATGCTGAACGATATATACATGTTTTAGCAACATATGCTGCCATCCAGACGACGTCTTTTTCAGGGAAGGTCTTGATTATTTCAGCAAGATGATGTCAAACCACATTCTGCATGTATTACAACAGCATTGCTCTGTATTAAAAGTGTCCAGGTGCTAAACTGACCTGCCAGCAGTCCAGACCTGTCACCACTGATAACATTTGGCGCATTATGAAATGAAAAATGCGACAAATGAGCCCCTGAACTGATGAGCAGCTGAAATCCTGTATCAAACAAGAACAGGGAAACATTTCACTTTCTAAACTACAGCAGAGTCTCCTCAGTTCCCAAACACTTACAGAGTGTTGTTAGAGAAGAGGTGATGAAACACAGTGGCAAACATTTTTTAGACTTCTTTGGAACATGTTGTTGACATCAAATTCAAAATGGGCAAATATTTTTCAAAAAACAATAAAATTTCTCAGTTTCAACATTTGATGTGTTTGATGTGTTGAAGTATTTTCCTTTAAAAATATGGTTCACATGATTTCCACATCATTGCATTCTACTTTTATTTACATTCAGCACAGCGTCCCAACTTTTTTGGAAATGGGGTTGTATATATACACACACTTAGAAGACGTGTAGGTTCACTGGTGGTTTTGATAGTAAATAAAATGTCTATATTTGTGTTGTAGTCATGGCGACCCCTGGTTCCTATCACCACCACTGTAAAGACATCTGAGTCTCTACAATCAGCCATTTCACACCAAACCACTCTGAATGATTTTGTGTACATATCAACACTTATTATGCAGAAATAAAAAAGCAGAATTCTCCTTTAACTACTCAGCAGAGTTTGAGGCAATCGTCTGATGATTTAGCTATGCAGTTCGATGCTAACTTGTGGGCTATAAGCTTCCAGTAAAGATGAGCTACATTAGCCTTGTAGCTCCAGTGCAAACCTAAGGAAGCAAACACGTCTTGGCTGATCGATCACAATCAGAGTAAACTGTGTAAATTAGATTTTTCACTGAACTATCCCTTTATGTAAAGTCTCACCATAATGGCCTGCAGGGGGTCAGGGACCTGCTGGATGGACGTGTTGGTGAAGTTTGGCTCCTCCTCTTTCATCTGGAGGTGCCAGGTGTTCGGTCCCTGAGCGGACACAACACCTGTCCATGGCTTCACGTCAATACAGTACACTGCAGAACCTGCACACAGGGGAGCGTAAAGATTTGCAAAAGAGGATCTTTAAGAGCTGCTCATTTGATACACACTGCATGTACAAAAGTATACAGAAACTTCGAATGAATGAATTCAGCTACTTTAAAGGGCCCATACCCCACTTTTTTCTGCATCTTATTTTTTCATTATGTTTTTCGGTAATGCCCATCCGGACTGCGTGTAATGCAGCCCGTTACTTAAAATGGGGTTGACACCCCAGAGTCACATACAGACACCCCACAGTCATCATCCTGGAATGTGGGAATGTCAACATTGTGTTCTGCTTGGACATGAAGCACACAGTTAATGAAGAGTGGGCTAAAATGGACAGAACCTAAAAAGAGGTGTGATCCTTACTTGACAGAACTGGTTCTGGATAAGAGGGACGCTTAATCAAGGATTAGAGACGAAGAGGCATGTGGCTCCTCTTTGTACAGAAAGCTTGTAACAATGTGAAACACCATTAAATCAGGGTGTGTTTTTACCAGGTTACAGCAGCACCTGAAAGGGTGTATCACCTATGCTGTGTTGTACCTGTGACGATGACGAGGTTGATCTCCTCTCTTCCTGTCTGAAACTGGTTAGGTACACGCAGGTTACAGAACACGTCCTCCTTCTTCAGCCCACTGACCCTCCTGAGGAAATGTTTATTAGTTAATGAGACTCCGAGCTGAATGAGCTGTGATGACTTTGAATCATGATAATCCTGAACTGCAGCACATCAATCAACCATAACCCATATGACATCACAAGATTACTGGATTATGAGATGTAGATAGATAAACTGATAGATTCATAGATAGATAGATAGATTCCCCAAATAGAGACAGAAAGACAGATAGATAGAAATAGAGACAGACAGAAATAGAGAAAGATACAGACGAACAGATAGACAGAAATGGAAATAGAGACAAACAGACAGACAGACAGACAGACAGATAGATAAATAGATAGATAGATAGAGATGGAAATACAGACAGACAGATGGACAGTTAGATAGAGACCAAAACAGAGACAGACAGACAGACAGACAGACAGACAGACAGGCAGGCAGATAGACAGAAATAGAGACAGAAATAGAGACAGACAGACAGATGGACGGATAGATAGATAGATAGATAGATAGATAGATAGATAGATAGATAGATAGACAGACAGATAAATAGACAGACAGATGGACAGACAGACAGACAGACAGACAAATAGATAGATAGACAGACAGACAGATAAATAGACAGACAGATGGACAGACAGATAGATAGATAGATAAATAGATAGATAGATAGATAGATAGATAGATAGATAGATAGATAGACACACAGATGGACAGATAGACAGACAGACAGATAGATAGATAGATAGATAGATAGATAGACAGACAGACAGATAGATAGATAGAGATGGAAATACAGACAGACAGACAGGCAGGCAGATAGACAGAAATAGAGAAAGAAATAGAGACAGACAGACAGATGGATGGACAGACAGATAGATAGATAGATAAATAGATAGATAGATAGACACACAGATGGACAGATAGACAGACAGATAGATAGATAGATAGATAGATAGATAGATAGATAGATAGATAGATAGATAGACACAGATAGACAGACAGACAGATAGACAGACAGATAGATAGGCAGATAGACACAGATAGACAGACAGACAGATAGATAGATAGATAGATAGATAGATAGACAGACAGACAGACAGACAGATAAACAGACAGACAGATGGACAGACAGACAGACAGATAGATAGACAGACAGACAGATAAATAGACAGACAGATGGACAGATAGATAGATAGATAAATAGGTAGATAGATAGATAGATAGATAGATAGATAGATAGACACACAGATGGACAGATAGACAGACAGATAGATAGATAGATAGATAGATAGATAGATAGATAGATAGATAGATAGACAGACAGATAGATAGATAGAGATGGAAATACAGACAGACAGACAGGCAGGCAGATAGACAGAAATAGAGAAAGAAATAGAGACAGACAGACAGATGGATGGACAGACAGATAGATAGATAGATAGATAGATAGATAAATAGATAGATAGATAGACACACAGATGGACAGATAGACAGACAGATAGATAGATAGATAGATAGATAGATAGATAGACACACAGATGGACAGATAAATAGATAGATAGATAGACAGATAGACACAGATAGACAGACAGACAGATAGACAGACAGATAGATAGGCAGATAGACACAGATAGACAGACAGACAGACAGACAGATAGATAGATAGATAGATAGATAGATAGATAGATAGATAGATAGATAGATAGACACACAGATGGACAGATAGATAGATAGACAGATAGATAGATAGATAGATAGATAAATAGATAGATAGATAGACACACAGATGGACAGATAGACAGACAGATAGATAGATAGATAGATAGATAGGTAGATAGATAGATAGATAGATAGATAGATAGATAGATAGATAGATAGATAGATAGACACACAGATGGACAGATAGACAGACAGATAGATAGATAGATAGATAGATAGATAGATAGATAGATAGATAGATAGATAGATAGGCACACAGATGGACAGATAGATAGATAGACAGATAGATAGATAAATAGATAGATAGATAGACACACAGATGGACAGATAGACAGACAGATAGATAGATAGATAGATAGATAGATAGATAGATAGATAGATAGATAGAGATGGAAATACAGACAGACAGACAGGCAGGCAGATAGACAGAAATAGAGACAGACAGACAGATGGATGGACAGACAGATAGGTAGATAGATAGATAGATAGATAGATAGATAGACACACAGATGGACAGATAGATAGATAAATAGATAGATAGATAGACAGATAGACAGATAGATAGATAGATAGATAGATAGATAGATAGATAGATAGATAGAGATGGAAATACAGACAGACAGACAGGCAGGCAGATAGACAGAAATAGAGACAGAAATAGAGACAGACAGACAGATGGATGGACAGACAGACAGATAGATAGATAGATAGATAGATAGATAGATAGATAGATAGATAGATAGATAGATAGACACACAGATGGACAGATAGATAGATAAATAGATAGATAGATAGACAGATAGACACAGATAGACAGACAGACAGATAGACAGACAGAGAGATAGGCAGATAGACACAGATAGACAGACAGATAGATAGGCAGATAGACACAGATAGATAGATAGATAGATAGATAGATAGATAGATAGATAGATAGATAGATAGATAGATAGATAGATAGATAGGCACACAGATGGACAGATAGATAGATAGACAGATAGATAGATAGATAGATAGATAGATAGATAGATAGATAGATAGACACACAGATGGACAGATAGACAGACAGATAGATAGATAGATAGATAGATAGATAGATAGATAGATAGATAGATAGATAGATAGAGATGGAAATACAGACAGACAGACAGGCAGGCAGATAGACAGAAATAGAGACAGACAGACAGATGGATGGACAGACAGATAGATAGATAGATAGATAGATAGATAGATAGATAGATAGATAGATAGATAGATAGATAGATAGATAGATAGATAGACACACAGATGGACAGATAGACAGACAGATAGATAGATAGATAGATAGATAGATAGATAGATAGATAGACAGACAGATAGATAGATAGAGATGGAAATACAGACAGACAGACAGGCAGCAGATAGACAGAAATAGAGAAAGAAATAGAGACAGATAGACAGATGGATGGACAGACAGATAGATAGATAGATAGATAGATAGATAGATAGATAGATAGATAGATAGATAGATAGATAGATAGATAGATAGATAGATAAATAGATAGATAGATAGACACACAGATGGACAGATAAATAGATAGATAGATAGACAGATAGACACAGATAGACAGACAGACAGATAGACAGACAGATAGATAGGCAGATAGACACAGATAGACAGACAGACAGACAGACAGATAGATAGATAGATAGATAGATAGATAGATAGATAGATAGACACACAGATGGACAGATAGATAGATAGACAGATAGATAGATAGATAGATAGATAAATAGATAGATAGATAGACACACAGATGGACAGATAGATAGATAGATAGATAGATAGATAGATAGATAGATAGATAGATAGATAGATAGATAGATAGATAGATAGATAGATAGACACACAGATGGACAGATAGACAGACAGATAGATAGATAGATAGATAGATAGATAGATAGATAGATAGATAGATAGATAGGCACACAGATGGACAGATAGATAGATAGACAGATAGATAGATAGATAGATAAATAGATAGATAGATAGACACACAGATGGACAGATAGACAGACAGATAGATAGATAGATAGATAGATAGATAGATAGATAGATAGATAGATAGAGATGAAATACAGACAGACAGACAGGCAGCAGATAGACAGAAATAGAGACAGACAGACAGATGGATGACAGACAGATAGATAGATAGATAGATAGATAGATAGATAGATAGATAGATAGATAGATAGATAGATAGATAGATAGATAGACACACAGATGGACAGATAGATAGATAGATAGATAGATAGACAGATAGACAGATAGATAGATAGATAGATAGATAGAGATGGAAATACAGACAGACAGACAGACAGGCAGATAGACAGAAATAGAGACAGAAATAGAGACAGACAGACAGATGGACAGACAGATAGATAGATAGATAGATAGATAGATAGATAGATAGATAGATAGATAGATAGATAGATAGACACACAGATGGACAGATAGATAGATAGATAGATAGATAGATAGACAGATAGACACAGATAGACAGACAGACAGATAGACAGACAGAGAGATAGGCAGATAGACACAGATAGACAGACAGATAGATAGATAGATAGATAGATAGATAGATAGATAGATAGATAGATAGACACACAGATGGACAGATAGACAGACAGATAGATAGATAGATAGATAGATAGATAGATAGATAGATAGATAGATAGATAGACAGACAGACAGCAGGCAGATAGACAGATAGAGACAGAAATAGAGACAGACAGACAGATGATGACAGACAGACAGATAGATAGATAGATAGATAGATAGATAGACACACAGATGGACAGATAGATAGATAGATAGATAGATAGATAGATAGATAGACACAGATAGACAGACAGACAGACAGACAGACAGATAGATAGGCAGATAGACACAGATAGACAGACAGATAGATAGCAGATAGACACAGATAGATAGATAGATAGATAGATAGATAGATAGATAGATAGATAGATAGATAGATAGATAGGCACACAGATGGACAGATAGATAGAAAGACAGATAGATAGATAGATAGATAGACACACAGATGGACAGATAGACAGACAGATAGATAGATAGATAGATAGATAGATAGATAGATAGATAGATAGATAGATAGAGATGGAGATACAGACAGACAGACAGGCAGGCAGATAGACAGAAATAGAGACAGACAGACAGATAGATAGATAGATAGATAGATAGATAGATAGATAGATAGATAGATAGACACACAGATGGACAGATAGATAGATAAATAGATAGATAGATAGACAGATAGACAGATAGACAGATAGATAGATAGATAGATAGAGATGGAAATACAGACAGACAGACAGGCAGCAGATAGACAGAAATAGAGACAGAAATAGAGACAGACAGACAGATGGATGGACAGACAGATAGATAGATAGATAGATAGACAGATAGACAGATAGATAGATAAATAGATAGATAGATAGACAGATAGACAGATAGATAGATAGATAGATAGATAGATAGATAGATAGATAGATAGAGATGGAATACAGACAGACAGACAGCAGGCAGATAGACAGAAATAGAGACAGAAATAGAGACAGACAGACAGATGGATGGACAGATAGATAGATAGATAGATAGATAGATAGACACAGATAGACAGAGAGACAGATAGACAGACAGAGAGATAGATAGATAGGCACACAGATGGACAGATAGATAGATAGATAGATAGATAGATAGATAGATAGATAGATAGATAGATAGATAGATAGACAGATAGACAGACAGACAGACAGATAGATAGATAGATAGATAGATAGATAGATAGATAGACAGATAGACAGACAGACAGACAGACAGATAGATAGATAGATAGATAGATAGATAGATAGATAGATAGATACACATTTTGTACACATAAGCAACACACCTGTTTTTATTCCTACTACACATAAACACATCAGTGGAAACAAACATGCACATCCTAAACGTTTATATTTAGTCGTATGAATAACAGAACAGAACAGCCCGTCTTCCTCCGTCTTACAGGCCAAAACACTCAGTGAGCGCCTTAAATTCACACAGTCCAAATACTAAATTAACGTGTCGATGATGATGGGGTCACTGACCGGACATGCTTGATCAGTTCTGGTAAGCTGGGAATTTTCTCCTGTCTGTTTTGTGCTCCACTGCTTGGAAGGCCTGAACTGCCAGAGCCAGCAGAACCTCCAGGGTCGGTGTTGTTTTTGGAGCTGCTGGAGTCTCCAGGCCCTGAGGAGAGATAAATGTGGCCCAACCTGCTCCCAAACTGGAACATTCTTCTGCTGTGGCGCGCCTGGAACTGCTAAACAAGATGCAAACAACTGAAGTGACATTATAAAAACCTCACAGCTCAGTAAGAATACAGATTCAGCTGAAACCAACACCGAGATCTCTGCCGTACAGGCTGTACACACAGCTGAGAACCATCATAAAGGACAGTCATGATCCTTTCAACCTGAAACTTCACAAATTCAGTTCAAATTCCTGGATATTTTTACATTTTCTTTGTTACAGAGATGAATCCCCTGAATTCAGCCCCAACAAACAAGACGAAGAAGCCTACCAGGCGTAGCTTCAGGTTTACTGACATAAAGGAATAAAAGCTCTTACGTGAGGAGGGTCGGTGGTCTTGTTTGTCAGCAGGTCAGCCTTGAGCCGCTACTGAACCAGAGAACATGAGAGAGAACATGCTTTCTAAGAAGTGAACAACATGTGAGTAATGAAACCGGATCCGTCCAGCGGGACCCAGAAGATGTAAACAACAAGCCACGTGGAGCCTCCCCCTTTCTCCCCCCGCGAGACAAAGCGTGATTTCCCAACTGCTGGAACCAATCGGTTCTTTTGAGTCGGTTCGTTTGAATCGGTTCTTTCCATTAAACCGAACGAACCGATTCACTAAATTCCCTTTAACAGACTTTTAACAGAATCAAAAAAATAATAATCTTCCATAAATTAATCTAAAAAAATAACACGTGTAAGCGGTTAACTGAGGCCAGAAGAGCTTGGCTACAAACTTCCATTTGTGTTTGAAAGTTTCTCAACAAGCTGTAGCATTTATAAAAACGTACTGTTTACAATTTAATGATTATTTCAGGATTATTTGAGGTTAAATGTATGTATATACGCGCGTGTGTGTGTGTGTGTGTGTGTGTGTGTGTGTATGCGTGTGTGTGTGTGTGTGTGAGAGAGAGAGAGCACATTAAAGGATCATAGTTCAAAAAATAAATATTTGAAATCATTATTTAAAAATCAAATCACACATTCAGACCTCAGATATTTATAAGTATTATGTTGTGATCTATTTAAACTTAAGGCACTAATAGATTAATATATATTAAATGTGTCCCAAACTCCAAATAAATACACTTGTAAAAATAATACTTAGATTATTTTTTAAGTGAAGTTGAAAGATTTAAATTTATCTTGAGTTTCATGTCACAATCAAAACACACAGAGGAACCTATTTTAGCCCCGCCCCTGCACGTTAAAGGAGGAGGTGACTGCATCCCTGTGCGCAGGTAGATCCCGGTGTTTTGAAGTGAATCATGGTGGAACAGTAACGCTGCGTGCACACCGGCAACGACGCGGTGCGACAAAGTGGCCGGAGGTCGTTCATTTTCAATTATAGCTGCGATTTCCGGCGACAGGAGGCGGCGCGAACGTTGGCGACGCTAAGTGGGCGGAGTCAGCGACAGACAATGTTGAGCGGAGTCAGAGAACCTGCAGAGAGGAAAATTATGTTTCTGCAATGCCTTCCGGTTTTCTCAAACACTAGAGGGCGCTCCCGAGTGAGTCCAAAATGAATGGGTTGATATGGAGCAGGAAACATACAGGTGAGTTTTCTTTGTTTTTAGCGAAATACATCCTTCTACAGTCTAAAGAGTCCATCACACACAAAGACTCACAGCAGGAGCGTTGACCCCCACATCATCACCTTAGAGATCACCCAGCATTCCAAGGTACAAACTGAACTGTTACAAATCCAGAAATTAATAGTGAAATATAGTTATAAAAATGCAAAGAATATCACCAAACGCACACACACACACACACACACACACACACACACACACACACACTATGTACATTGTCATCCGTCACATCTGGATTTGCTTCCCAGCCTATTCACACCAAGAAGATCTTACATATCCTTTGATAGTCTTTGATTTGATGCTAAATGTACCGATTAATCTCAACCACTTAACTGAGGGATATTTTGTTCTGTCACATTAAATAAAATGTAGCATAGATTGTGTGGGTAGTTCTGTCACCTTACAGCACAAAAAGGCCCGGGTTCCATTCCCCGGCCGGGTGACCAGGGTTCTTTCTGTGTGGTGTTTGCATGTTCTCCCAGTGTCTGGGTGTCTCTTCCCACAGTCCAAAGACATAGTCTGGCCATTTGGAGATGCTGAATTGCCCCTAGGTGTGATCATATGTCCAGGATGTTTCCTGCCTTCTGCCCAGTGAGCACTCGGATAGGCTCCGGCAACCCCCAAGACCCAGGAGGATAAGTGGCCTATGAGTGAGTGAGGATTGCATCATTACTTGCTTATAACTGTTTTTTAAATATTTTCATTGTCATAACAAGTTCATGGTTGCACAACAGAACAAACATCATTCAATCACTCTTTTAACAAACCTGACTAAAATAAATCAAAAGAAAATTCTGCTTATTTGATGTCATTATTCTTCTGTGACTCTGACTATATGAGAGGAAGAAACTGATAATACTTCATTAAATTTCGAAAAATTGAGGCATAAGATAACACAAAAAGACAGCGCATGGGGTCTTTAAATAAATAAACAATAAAGGTCAAAAATCATTCAGTTGTCACTTAGTTATGTTATGTAACAGCGTGGTTTAAATATTAGAAAAAGAAACTAATTTTAAGACATCTTGCCTTTGGAAAAGCAGACATTTCTGTAGAATGCCCCATAAATTTACATGTATGAGTGTGCACATATTTCAGGGTATAATCACATGATTTAGCTCCACATCCCAGTCATTGTAGATGCATAAAGCCCTCCACCTCCCCAATTCATTCCTGGGTTTGCCATGAGGCTCAGGCATCGAAATAACCAAGCCTAAACACCAGAGGACACACCATACTAACAGAGCAGTCCGTCTTCAGTCAAATCTCCTCTAATACAACAGCCATACGGAGCTCACACCTGAGTCTAAACCCTGCAGCCAGCGGCGAACTCACCGCCTCTTCAAAGGTGCTCAATCAATTCCACTCACTGCTTTATGATAGATGGGCCTAGTAGAGATGGCAGACCCACTTCTGTTTACTTTAGCACTTCCTTAAAGGCCCTGCATCCTAAATAATTCATGTGTACACTGGCTAATGCTAGATTACCTCCTTGGCCCTATTTATGCTGCACTAGTTGCCTACGGGGTGTGTAATATGTTAATGTTAGCAAGGCCTGAAGGATTCATCTGTTTTCAGACATGCCACCGTTCTCTCAGCCTGTGTTTCATTAGCGTGAGTCAGACGTGGTGATTTAGCAAGCGAGCCCCACAATTTATGAGGCTGGCTGGCTCTCATGGCCTGTGAGTACTTGGACGGGACTGTTTTAGTTTCATGGTGCGGACGGTGGTGGACTAAATCGAGCAGGCTGCTGCAAGGTAGATGGCTTAGGGGTAAGAAAAGGTCAGCTAGTGACGGGCAGTCATATGAACAAATGCATGAGACAGATTAGCACCGTGACCTTCACTCACTCCTTCTCCCAACCCCGACATCTGACATTTGCATTTTTAGCTGGGTTGGAGGTGAAATATGATATTACTGGATGATTATTTTTCCTCACTGCTGACATAATCAAAGCTCAGAAGATGTTTTAGAGTCATTACACTTTAAAGGGACATTCCAGCCTAAAACTAACATGTAATATGTTATTTATCATGTTATGCAATATTCTGTAGTGCAGCATTGAATCCCTCTGCCTCATTGATTTGACAGAATTTGCAGTTTTGGCCCTCAGCATTCTCACTACAATACCCAGCATGCATTACGCAAATAAGCTTACCTGTCAAAAAGTGAGTCATCTGTGACTGAAACGTACCTAACAGTGTGTAATATCTCCACAAGCGTGAATAACAGCTGTGATTGATTTGAGACGGAGTGGACAAGTTTCTGGATGTAGGCGACATCAATGCTCAGCCATTCTTACATCAAAGAACTGCTCAGCTCGGCCAGATTTCGTGGAGCCTTCACTGGAGTCTTACTCAATGTTCCAGGTCATCCCACAGACTTTCTAGAGGCCGGTCCAGATGTGTGAAGCTCCTGAATGTTCATCATGCCAATCAGTCACATCTGCAGCCCTGTGAATGCAAGAATTGTCATTTTGGAATACAGGGATATGAATGTTATGTTCCTCAGTAAGATGATGAGCAAAAGGCAGCAGCTCAGTGTCGGCACTGAGAGTCAAATTTACTGTCACCCCAACTAAACAACCCGATTCAGCGTAATTAAACCCCCAGAACATCACAGAGCTCCTCTATCTTGAACCACATCTGCACACAGTCCTCACTGAGGCTTCCTGAGGTCTGTGATGAACACGACGCTCAGCATCGTTCACACACAGGCAGAAACCAGACTCATCTGACCAGATAACACGTTTCCAGTCATGAACAGTCCAGTGTTTGTGCCCCCTGTAACTGGGCGACTCTGTGAGCAGAAGTAAGAAAAGGCCACTTGTGTGCCACTTTGATCCAGATGTTCATGGTATGCGGTTCCCTGTGGAGGTTCTTTCAGAAAGTGGTTGTGAAGAACCTGCCTTGACTTCTAGAAGTGATTCTTGTCTGGAAGCGAAGCCGTGAAACATGTCGGCGGTCCCTGTCCATCAGTTTCGTCTTTCAGCCTCAATTCTGATGAGAATTTCCTGTAGGCTGGGATTTTTGCCACTGCTGGTCGACCTGTATGACTGTACGGTTCAATACACCTGCAGATTCTACTTCCTCCACACTGTGGCCTTTAAAAAAAACACCCAAATGCATCACTCCTTTTAGCCAATCATTAACCAGTGTCCCAATTCAGGGGCTGGATCCTTTCGAAGGCTACTTAGACTGTTTGGGTCACAGCACTGCTGTTCCCGCCCTCACCACTGCATCACGAAACGCCGCTCCTGTCAAATTATTTTAAAGTTCTTTAAAGACGGAGCCAGAAACTTTGATTTTAGTTGTTCATTTTTTTCATTTATTAGAGCTGGAGATGCTTCACCCACAACTGATGAGATTGTTTGTTTTGTTTTGCTTTTTTTTTTAACATTTGTATCGTTAGCCATTCACCTCAGTTTAACTCCAATACTTATATTTAAAGTGTCTCCTCAGCCGCCGTTCGCTCCTCTGCTGATGCCGCCATGTTCTCGAATCCTCGCCGTCACACAGTGAACCTCAGGATATGTTGGCTGGCGAAGGATCCACCCGTTGGATCCTTCGTTGCCATGGAAAAGAAGAACACATTTCTCGGCCGTGTATGAAGGAGGCTTCGAAATGGGACAGTCTAGTTGCACCGCTGTGATGCAGTTGGCCTTCAAGTGCAGCCTCTGAAGGACGCAGCCCCTGAAATGGGACACAGCCCCTGAA